TTCCGCGGTGCAAAAATAAGTGCGATTAAAATGCGTTAATTTTTTTAACGCGTTAATTTTTGTGTAATTAATTAATCTTAATTAACGCGTTAAAGTCCCGGCCCTAATATATATACATAAATATATGACATATGGAATATTAAATATCAAATATTGAAAAGATTATATATGTGTAAAATGTACAATGTGGTTTAATTCCAAGAGAAACTATGGAGCAGAGAGTTCTCTTCCAGCCAGAGGTGATTTATTGTACAGTGTTATTGCAGTGGGCAGGAATGTGTTCCTGTATCGGTCCTTGTCAGCAGTCTGCTCCGTTGACTGTCCAGCTGCAGGTGGAGAGGATGGGTGGGGTTACCCATGATGGACAACAGCCATCAGCCAACAGAGATTACACTTCCAGTCTTAAGAACTTGGAGGGTGCGCATCAATCTAAATAGCAGATAGCGTTGGTGTAATTTAACAATAGTGGCCATAGACAACTGTTCTACTTTTGGAGCTAGTGCCAGCTTCTTAGAATGGGAAAAAATGGCAACTTAGCAAAGGATGCAATGCATTTTATTTTTACATGGAGCCTTAATTTCCCCTGGAGATCGAACATAGGGTCCAACAGAATCGCAAAATGAAAACAAGGCTTATAGTGAACTAATCTAAATGCTCATGGTGTCATTATCCTACAGCCATGACATTGTGAGGTTCATACTGCCCGTTATCAGCAGCTATGCCCAAACACCTGGAGGCTGTCAACTCCTCGATTGTGGCTGACATGGTGGGAAATACCAAGAACTGTGAAAAATGTAACACTCAAAATCATTTAAAATGTGTTTTAATATGAAGCTTTAGTCCATATGCACATCTTTGTATTGTTACATGTTATGCCTTCATCTAATCAGAGTTCACACAAATGACAGTACTGTGTATGTGCTATTGTGCCACTGATCTATAGTCTTGTGTATTGAGTTAGTAAGGAGAGTTTTAAGTGAGGAGAAACTCCACGGAGCGGCTTGACTCAAAGTGCCCTGCGGAGGTTATATCGTTAACAGACACATGTGTTTCCCAGCAGAACACAATGTACAGAGAGGATCTTTGACGTCTGAGAAACAAGTTCAAAGCATTTCTTTGAGGCAATGCATAGACTTTCTGCCTCACCTTTTCATTATGAGGTCAATATGAACCGCACAATGTCATTACATTACATTACATTGCATTTAGCTGACGCTTTTATCCAAAGCAACTTACAATAAGTGCATTCCACCAGGAAGATACAAACTTGAAGAAAACAGAATCATATAAGTACATCAGGTTTCATAGAGCCAAACATTTCAAGTGCTACTCAACTGGCTTTAGATAAGCCAGTCCTTTATTAGTATAGAAGTGCTTTGTTAGTAATTCAATCGCTCGAAGTGGAGTCGAAAGAGATGAGTTTTCAGTCTGCGCCGGAAGATGTGTAAGCTTTCTGCTGTCCTGATGTCAATGGGGAGCTCATTCCACCATTTTGGAGCCACTTAACACAGGGTTGGAACACAGTTATCTTTTTTTTTACTCAAGAGACTGACAAATATAATTTTTTTCATGTAATATTGACACATTGAACATAGATGCATCAGAAGAACCCTTAGTTGTTTCAGGTTGTCCTGTTGTTTATTTTTCTTACTCTGTGCTTGCTCCACAGGTTCAAGAACAATATGCTGGACTCTGATTGGATAGCAGATTTTTTGAAACTGTTAAACAGCAGTCAGAGAGGAGTCAGTGTCAGGTAATAAAGAACATAGTGATGCAGCCTGTACTAAATGTTTAGCTGTAGCCTTCCACTTCAACATTAATGTTGCACTGCTGGAAAATACGGTTGGAATACTGAGCTGTATCTCACTTCCCTTTCTTGTCAGTATTGAGGAATATTGGATCAGATCTGAGGATGCTGTTGGTTTGCTGTGTCTCTGTCTGGAGCTCAGCAGCAACACACACACTATCAGGTGAGATAAGCAAGCAACACGTGTTGGAAGATATTTTTTTGTAATTAAACACATGTTTAAACTCACTGTAAAATGTCCTGCATCGCCATTTTTCTGCTAAACACATTTACTTTGCAGGATTAACAACACTACGCTACACCTGTCTTTGATGAAATCCACTGAACTCAGGTAAAATATTTAGGTTGCATATTTAAATTTGTAGTATAGTACGAAGAACTAAACTGGCAATGAACAGTCTCAATTTCATACTGATGCCTCCATATGACCTACATAAGTACGGAAGATAAATGATTGGCTATTTTACACACTTATTCTCAATGTGTGTGGGAGGCAGACTGTAAGGCCGTACTGCAGTCAAATCTGAGGTTTTCTAAAGGGACCCTGGTTTTTGAAAACACTGAAACCTTTGTCCAGAGAGGGCGGGAAATCAACACAACCTCCTGCTCTTTAATATACTGTATTCAATATTCAAAGTGTGACATCTGTTGGTTCGTAAACTAGTTTTGAAGCTAGTAAGGTGTATAATGGTTTATGCACTGAGGCTATTCTGTGAAATAGGAGACAGATTGTATGTTCTTCGAGGGGGGCATGCAAAAAATGACATATTGAATTAAGTATTTTTATCTGAATAAATGTTAAACTTGAACTGTGAGCTATGTGTTACGCATACAAATATGATACATATCTTTGGTTTATGTGTGTTTGTGTTTTCAGTGAGGACTCTGCAGATCTGAATCCATCCATGGCCACAAAGACAATAAGGTACTTTTTTTTAAAACTCAAAGTAAATACCTCAAAGTGAAGCAAAACTGCATTTAAATCCCATAATTACAACTTCATTGTGGCTTTCCTTCCGACAATATAAATAAAGTTTGCAAATGCGACATAACACCATTAACATGTGCAGCACATAACTTGCTGGCAGTTATAGGTGTCAATCTCTAATCTCCGTCTCCGTCTTCCCCCCCCCCCCCCCCAGCCTCGTGGGACTGTGCAGTGGAGGGGCACCACCTTGCATCTATGGAGAGTGTAATCACCAAGTGTTCTTCACTGACAGAGCTGGAGTTAGTACTCTCTATTTTCTGGTTATACATATGGCATGCACATAGCAGTGTTCAAGGAAGACATTTTTGTCATGTTTGTTGTCATTATTCACAGTTTGTCCCACAACAGCCTGGGTGCAGAGGGGGCTGAGTTTCTCTGTTCTGTCCTGCCCTTGCTGCCAAATCTCACTTCTCTCAGGTGGGAGATTTTTCCCATTTTGACGCTTTTACCCTTGCCTGCTTTAAAGTTCTAGCATGACAACCATCTTCTTTTGTCTTCTGCAGTATTGGTTCCAAAGAGACTTGTGTGACTGTGGTTGAGAAGCTGTCAGAGGCCTTGCTGCAGGCTAAAGCCATTCAGTGTTTAAAGTGAGCAACAAACACATTTTTATCACAACAAAAACCTAGCGCTGAATGGATAGCGTACATCCAGCACATTCTTTTTGTAATGTTAATTAATTTAAATGTAATCTTCCGTCTCCCAGTCTATCAGGTCATGTGATAAGTGACTCAGCAGCCCATGTTATGACCAGAATCTTGCCCACTTTGAGATCACTCAAGTAAGCTTTGAACATAATAACACTCCTCCACAAGGGAACATTATTTTCATTGATCAATCGCCACCATGTCAAATAAATAAAGAGCTCATAATGTGGAACTTACTCATGGGGATTGTGTAATTTGTAATTCTAGCCTCTCTCACTGTGAGTGGTCGGCGGCAGGAGGGCTGCAGCTCCTCGAAGCACTGGGAGAGAGTGTCCGCCTGGAAGGCCTTTGGTATAATACTAATGATCATGTGTACACAAATGTCTGAATACACTGAAGAAAAAGTGGTTTATAATGAGGAAGATTTAACATTTCTTCACTTCCTCCTTTCAATGTCAATGTGTCGTTGATTCAATGCCTACAATGAGGCATAGCTGGTTAACACAGCTATGACAACTGTTAAAAGGCAGTTGCTGTGAGGGTGGTTTAGTTTGTCTAAGGCATTACGCTTTTTACTACTGGCATTTGCATCTAGGCCTCAAATATCTTACAGGTAATGTTCGTTTGTAAAGAGGATCTCACTGATCAATCATGACGTTTTCCTTGCCATTGATTTATTTTGCAGCATTCAAAAATCTAATCTAATCTCAATCCCACTGTAGATTTTTGATTGTCTATGCTAAAAGTGAGTCGATATGTTTTTTCCTGTTTTTGTTTCTCTATGTTTATATGTGCCCCCCAAGTCTGGACTCCGTGCAGCTGAATGAGGAAAGCCGAGTGTGTCTGGCAGACGCACTGAGGAATATCAAGTCCATCCGAAGTCTCAAGTAAAAAACACGATAGAACTCCTGACCTTTTCAAATCATTAAGAAGACTAATCCAAAACTGCGCGGCCTGTGTATAGCTATTCATTATGTAGGTTTAAGTATTTCATTACACAGTCAAGCCCACCAAGCTATTCCAAGCAGACGTCTTTATGTGCTGCTAAAGTCACACTCAAGTACTTTCTTACACATATCAGGTACCCTTCTTATAATCCGGTCTATTTAAGATCTGCTCTCACATTGCAGTTGCTGTTGCTGCAGTTGCTGTTGCTGCACTTTAAATAATTGGGGNATAAAAATGTTGAAATAGAAAATATACATGTAGATATTATATATACAAATCAATATTTGATATTTAATATTCCATATGTCATATATTTATGTATATATATATTTGTATATATAATATCTACATGTATATTTTCTATTTCAACATTTTTATTTTATATTTTCTTTTCTTTCTATTCTTGTTTATTTCTTGCTTTATTTTAAAATGCCTTGTCTTTTATGCTGATGCAACAAAAACTATTTCCCAAATTGGGATCAATAAAGTACCATCTTATCTTATCTTAATCTCTTTGGTAGGATTTGGTGTTGTTGGCCGCTTTTGAGCAATATGTACACCTCAACTGTGACCCTAACAACCAGTCCTGTGGACCTCATCTATACTTTGAGATTATGCTACCATAGAAATGTAATATCTTCCCCGTAATTTAGAGTGATCGGGTTCTTCCTTGGCCCTTTCACCTATGGTTCTATCCAAATGAGGCCATCTGTCACCATCTTGCCAAATTGTCTCTTTTTAGACCTTGGCGTCACCAATGGAACAAACAGTGGCTGATTTCTCTGCTGCTTTGATTGTACACAATGAATGAGCTTTTCTAATTTAACTTCAACTTGCCATTACTTCCAATGCACATGTTCGTTATTTGCTAGTTGATATCTTGACGTCCTCAATCATATGAAAACATTCATGCACATTGATCTTAGCTTTCTGTGATGTAAGCATTACTTTGATGACGGACAGAATTTTTATATCTGCTCAACGTCAGACACAGAGTTACATGCAGTGATGTTTGGCCATGTTTATAGAGGTTCCTGCAGCGTTTATCATTCAGGAAATAGTAAGAACTCCCAAGCAGTTCCAAAATCTGTTAATCAATGTTTTTAAATCTAAAATCAACAGAAATATTGGAATATGTGGTTTATCTCTTTTATTGAACCATCCTGGTGACTTTATTTATACAGTGCACTGCATTTCAGGTTATCAAAGTGAGTTCACTGAAAAGCTGGCATGGAAACCAATTTGATCGATCTTCCAAAAGCCTTTTGCATAAAATCACAAAACGCTTCATTTATAAAAATACATACGACAATAGAAGCCTGCCAAAAAATATATTACAGCTTAATATACAAATATATAAATGTACATTTCCATAAATACAATAATCTTGACATGTATTATGGCTAACAAGTAGGCCAGTCCATCACAATTTACCTCGGCTTGCATATTTATTTTTCAGTAATTGTGTAATATTTGACCTTTTTAAAATAAGGGCATGTTGTAGGCGGAGCTCAGTCAATGAGGTAAACTGTTGCAGTCGAGACTCTGTTGACCCATTCAGGAAGTAATTAGGAAGCACATAGCAAACACTGGATTTCAAATTGACCACTTTCATAAACTAAAAAAAATATACCTAATCTACAAAATGCATATCCTCACTCAACAGCAATCTCAATGACTTTCCGTCTACATGGCTGCAGGGGAGCCTTTTAAAGTGACCAGTGACACAATAACCAAAACAAATGAACAAGCAAGGCTTCACGAGATCTGATATCAACACATGACTCATATTACAATATATATATTATACTGATTAAAACGATATTTACAAAGACCACTGTGATTCTCCGCTCAGTAGACAGTAAATACTTCTTTGGTCCCTGTTGATTGTTGGCGATTAGTGGTTCAGTAAAGACAAACATTTGGGACAATTTAAAAAAAAAAAATGTGCCTATATTAAGCCTTTCACTCTGAATCATTTATACACCAACCATAATCCAAGTTCACATAGGCAAGGCAAACACACCACTTCAAGGGTTCAATATGCATCAAATTCACTATAAACAGTACATGTGGGCTACAAAAGCATAAACAGATGATTACAAAGATATGAGAGCTACTGAAAGTGTTACTTTGTCATATGTGAGCACATCATCATGAACTGTAACCTTTTTGAGCAGCAGATTATACAGAGAGAGAGAGAGAGAGAGTAAGAAAAGCAGATTGATGTCCAGCACGGAGGACGAGGTTCTTCTGGTTGCACTGGGAAAAAGGGAGAAAGTCCGAAAAAAAACGCAGCATCCAGTAAAAGTCCAGTTATTGCAAAGGCGTTCCCAGTGTTGCTCTGTGCTGTCCATGTCTACATGGAGAGAATGATGTGCGTGGTGTGTTCAAGTGCAATTTCAGACTTCAATCTGCCCGAAAAGACTGCCCTGCGTCTTCAGCTTGTGCATCCTGAGGGGGAGAAAAGACGACAGTGAGCCGGAGAGCTTCTGATAAAACAGGAGAACGTCACTTTTAAAAGGTCCCCTATTAAACTGTTTGGCTCCAAACACCAAACAGATCATTGCAGCATTACCCATAATCCCCTCTGTTTCAGCCCTGTTTCCAAAGTGCTGATTCTCTGTCTGTTACTTTAGATGAAAATAAGGAGCCCCTCCCCACGCCCCTCTGAGAGAGATTTGGTTACAAAGAACACAATGGGGCTCTAGGAGGAGATTCAGGTGATAAGGTGGGGGGGGGTTACCTTGGTTGCTGATTGGCTAATGGTTACACAAGCCAAAACATCGTTATGACATCATAAAGTGGCCAAAATCTGATCAGCTCATTTTCAGACAGGTTTTTATAGAAATGGATCAACAAAGAGAGAGAATCTTTGTTCCTGAAACTTTCAGAGTCTCTTTCCACAGAGGGGACACATGTTGATGTAGAAGAGACATGAAGAAGAGGGGACACATGTTGATGTAGAGGAGACATGAAGAAGAGGGGACACATGTTGATGTAGAAGAGACATGAAGAAGAGGGGACACATGTTGATGTAGAAGAGACATGAAGAAGAGGGGACACATGTTGATGTAGAAGAGACATGGAGAAGAGGGGACACATGTTGATGTACAAGAGACATGGAGAAG